TGCTACTGCGCAGCAGCATCTAAAAAGAACCATGCAACAACAGTACTGTGCAGTAATGCTGGTTACTGTGCAGTCATTTAGTACTTGGTTAAGCAAGTACTGTACTAAATGACTGTGCACTAAAAACTGAGCAGTCCGCCGCTCATGTAGATGAAGACACTGTCACTTTTACTCTCACTGTTGTATTAATTACCCAGCATAAATTCACTAAGAACATGGTTATTCTATGTCCATTTTAGCAAGCAGCCCACTTGAAGATGCTGCCAGACCCAGTAAGTTTACCACGCATAGGCAGCCTCTGATTTTCCCTAGCTCAACTTCGTCTTCCAAGCACAACAATTCCATCAAGGTCATACTACTCCCATGGTTGAAACTGCCCCTTTAACCCTTAGGCATAATTTCAGTGAAAAAAGATAACACAGCCCTTATTTTTATTTTCTGCATAAGCTCCACAGCACCACGCAACATTAATTATTCCTCTTGCTATGGATTTTAAGAAATTTTCAAATAAAAACCCTGGTTCTTTAAAATTCCTTCCTCGTTGTCTGATTCAGCAGAGCCACCCAGGACACACCCAGTACCAAAATTGTATGTTTCCTTGATGCACCTTGCCTTTGTCATCTTCTTTGTCCCTTGTTTCATCTGCCGCATTTACACACTAGAGTAAACAGCACTTCCTTCATTTCCTTAGCTGCCTCCCCTGCAGATAGTGCATCTGCTGCTAGTGCCTTCTCTTCCAATTCCTATCTCATCCCTGTCCTTTGTTCACTGTCCCTTCTGCCAGTGTTTTATTCTGAAAATATAATCTCTTCTACTTTCTCCCATTACTGGTTCTCTTTTAGTTCCAAGGCAAGCAGAAAAACCAGTAAAGCAGGCACACTTTCCAGTTGTTGTAGGAAAGAAAAAGATGAAACCCTTTGCTTATGGACAGACCAAAAAGAACTGAATAATTAGGACCATTTTCCACAACCTACAGAAATAAAAATTCTGATAAAAAAAATACAAGTGCCAAATATTTTTCTACACTTGATGCACCAGCAACATGCAGTCTGGTCTTCTTGGAGAAACAGAGTACATGTTTGTGTACATTCAGCACCCTCTTTGGAGATACTATTTCTTCACACTGCCATTTGGGTTGTGTATGGAACTGAGGTGCTTCACTGCAAAATACTGCAAATTTTGCAGTGTGTGGAGGATTCTAAGTTCTCATTGGATGATGATTTGGACAAAAACAGTAGAAGAACATTACTACAACCTCCAAGTAACATTGGTATGACAAGAAATAGCATATCTAAGAGGAAAACTAACACAGCAAGGGATACAGGTAAAGTACAGAAAGGTTGAGGTCGTCACCAACAAGCTTGCCCCAGTAGACATGGTAGGAATACAGATTTCTTGGAATGATGAATTATGTAAGTAAATTTGTGTCTAATGTAGCTGTCCCCATTTGAGTGCATTACAGTGCAATGATGTTAAAATGCTCCAGTCCTGAGGTGCTTACAGTAAACACAAATACTTTCAATGAAGATGTTGGCACAAAAAGAACTAGTAGATTTATAAGTGCCTGAGAACAGTTGTACTGATATCTCGGGTGGGGGGGAAATGGGATGGGACGGTATGGGACGGGACGGACCTGGAAGTCCACATAACAGTACAGGGTAAATTGCTAGTTAGTTTAATTAATTAATTGATTATATATTTTGAAATTATGTATTATGTTAATGCGGCTTGTTAATTGTTTTGCTGTTAAAAGAACTGCACCATTAAATAGCTCTGGGAAATGCCACTTATAACCAGTTGTAGTACTACGTAAAGCTTTATGCTATGATGAAGTAGAACAGAGAATGCAGCAGAATTATCGCATTCATTGGCTCTCAGTAGTTTCTGAAGAATGGACTGCCCTCCTGACTGTTTCATTCATTCCCAGAGCGTCCCAGTCTCTAAATATATTAGAAAGAAAAGCATTAGGAGAAAAAGATTCTATGGTCCCTGGTCCATTACCCACAATCCATTTCATCCCTACATTGTTCCAGAGGCTAACTCATGTACAACGCATCACTCTTCTTGCAAAATTAGGAACCAAATCTCAATATCTATTGCCTTGTCCGTTTCTCTTTCTTAATCCTCACTGCAGTCCTATCTCCCACCTTCCATGCTCAGGTGGCCTTCTTAACTTGGCTCACACAGTTCCTCTCATTACACAGCTGAAGGAGACTAAGCATGTGAAGTGGATCTTGTGAAATCCCTATCAAACTAAACAAGTAATTTATGATGTTTTTTTACCATCTATCAGTTGTTATGGATATTGCAGTATTTAGAGTTATTTGAAACAACTGTACATTAGTTAAATGTCAGTCTCATAGCAACTACTGAACCTTTAGCATATCTTTGTGTATATGACAGTTCCAACTAAGACATAATCACTTAAAAACATGCTTTTAAAAGAATACATTTCTTTTCCTTTGTTTCTACATCCAAACTGGACGGCTTTTAAAATTCCCAGGTTACTTTTTTACTATTCCTTATCTTTGTTACTTTTTGCTTTACTCCACCTTTGAGGATGAAATGAATTAAGTCAAATTTTATTTGAACTGTTCCTTTTCAAGTTCTACAAGCTGTGGTATTTGGGTCATACAAACTGCAGGTGAGTTAGTTTAAAAACAGCTGTTTCTTCCTTCCTTCCTCCCTTTTTCTTTCTGATAGCCAGCTGTTGAACACATCAGAAAGAAGATCTACTTAAGAGAATTTTGCACAAAAGCAAATCTGAGAAAAATGGCAATGATACAAAACGCAATATGTTTGGCCAGTGTTTTAATGCTTGATGGTTATAGTGAATGCAAGCCCTGCACCTCACTTAATCCCACATAGGAGCTATATTGGGCACAACAACCACAAAGAAACCTCAGTTCATCATCTTTTCTTTCACAGAAATCTATGCTGGATATCACAGACTGGCACAGAAGGCTGTGATAAAGGGGCAGGGGGGGGGCCAGGAATGGACATTTGAATTGATTAAGTGAGCCCAGCAGCCTCCACAATTGGTGTCGAAGGTCTATGTGCACCTACACCAGTTGATTTATAAGATGAAATAGTGAATGCAGAGGTGTTAGACACCAGCTATTATACAGCTCAGTGTTAGGCAAGCAGATTTCACCTCCTTGTCTCTGCACAGAACCCAAATACTCAGGCATAATGAAGATAGAATAGATTTCACACTTGTGAGATATATCAGCTTTTTTGCTTGGCTTATCCTGCAATGAGACTTAATCCTGAGTTTGACAACCTGGACATTCCATTACTGACGTCAGGGTAGCTTTCTTAGATAACAAAAAAAAATGTTAAATGAACTTGAACGCAAAATTGTGGAATAAAAAATCATCCACAGACTGGATTGTATTAAGTATGGTCTGAACCTCTATGGATTCTCATCCCATTACCTGAATTAGCTTTTTATGACCTCTTTGTCCCTGTGGGTTTATTACTTGTTTGCCTCTCTCAGGGATCCCCTTCCCTGTCTTTTGTATTCAGATCACTCTGTTTGATAAACTGTGTTGTGCATGTCTTTTCAGAGCATCTGATGAAATGAGCTCAGGGTCACAAAAGCTCACGCTATACTTCTCTGAATTAGTCTACAAAGTGCCTTAGTTAGTCTAGCCTGCCTTTCAACATGCTATTTTGCCATAAGAAGGATCTCAGTGTCACACATTTAGCAATTTACCTTTACTGCAGAATCAAGTCAGAAAAAGCTGGACATGAGAAGACTGACCTCTTTTCAAGACAAGTAGAGAGTCAGAAGACCTAAAAAGATGCCTTAATATAGCTGAATGATAAAGATAGGTGAATTAAAATGTAAATTACTGAAAAGATGGAATTCTATATATTTTAATGCATGTCTTGCTTTAAGAGCTGTAGTGAGTTCAGGCTTCACTGAAGTTGATTTTAGTGGAGAGAAGCAGAAATGAATGCAAGGGGAAGAGCTAATGAAGGGATGTTGTGAATTGTCCTTTTGAAAGAAGCCAAATACTTCTTACATTGAAGACAGCTAAAATACACACCAGTACATATTTTTCCTCAATGAATTTCTATGAATGTGATTTCTGGTTTCCATGAGGTGCTATATAGAAGCAAATGAAAAGAAGACAGTCCACAAGGGCTATACGATAAATTGTGGTCTGGACTGGAATAAGTGTGATGATTGGTAATCTAGGGGTAAGTATCCTAAGTACCCTAGAAACTCAGCCTTCCTATTTTATACAGGTAACGGCAACTCTAGCTTTGCCCCAAATTCAACTGCAGATGTAGGTTTTACAGATACAGATTGCACTTGCAGGAGGGAGGCTGGTCTTTTGAAAATCTGGCCTTCAAATATATGTCAGTTGCAGTAGCCTCTGAAATTAGGCTTTTGTTACTTGAATAAAATCAGTTTTAAGCAATAAGCATTTCTCACACAACATCAAAACTCATGTATAATGTTAATTCTTCTGAGGAGATCTATGACAGAGCAACTTCTCTTCTTTACAGGCTATTTTAGCTGTTAAAAAACAACTTTCCTTTTTCCATGATCCTGCAAGTCCTCAGTTACATAGCACTTCCACTAACAAATCATTTTGTTAAGACTGCAAGGTCAGGGCCATGGAGTGCTTGGTTAATTTCACCTTTTAAGTTCAACAGCTTCTATATTATTGTTCATTTTGTGTTGTTTAGCAAGTTGAGGCTAAATTATGTTCACCTTGCATAAAAAAGCCACTCTAGTCAATGGGATGCTCTCACTAAGGAAAACATGATTTGGGCCAAAGTGATACTGGGTAAGGATTTGTATTTTCTGTCAAGTTCAAGACCATATATCTCTTAGTTTAAATGCATCCAGATGTCTGCTTAAAATAGAAACAAAACAGATTAATCCTTTTACACAAAGCTCGCTTGATATAATATTTAGCAACAAGAAGCTTGAATTTTTTTAAGGTACTTTCTTGAATGGAAAAATATAAGTTGAATCCTACCCAGAAATTGCTGATAGTTTTTGGTGTGCGTGATAAGCCATCTCGCATCCTTTGGTTCGAGTCTTGTGCATTTCAGCACGTAGAGACGGACAGTTGACTGACACATCCCCAATGGAAATGACTAACTCCCGGTATAGAGCCACTTGGGTATTGAACTCCTGGACAAGCTGAAAAACAGAGATTGTTTACTTACATGAAACATTTAACTATAGTGATAAAACATTGGGGCGTTTATAAAAGCAGTCAATCATGCTCCTATTTTTATTGACTTCAGTGGATACAGGATCAAATCTTTAAGGTTTAGTAAATTACTAAGGCCTTCATGCAAGCTGCTTCATCTGTACTATAACTGCTCACTTGTAGGAAGGTAATATTTCAACTCTAAACATTTGAAAGTGCTTGGGTTATTAATCTTAAATATCAAGCAGACATAAATAATAGCTTCTTTACTGTGGATAGCAAGGGATTATTTTTCATTACCATGAAAGACAAAAATATCTCCTGAAATGATTCTCTCCTTCCCCGACCCTCCCTGCTTTCTGATTAGCAGCACATTTAGGGAGTGGAACATACCATTCATTTATGCACCGGAGACTTTACTAATTTACTTTGTAATGATTTCCTTCCTATCATTGGCCTCTAACCCAGGTTTCAGACCTGAAATTGATCTGAAGTTGTTGGCTGAAAAGATGTGCTGGATAGTTACTTTCCACTTAGTATTCCAGGTAGCACCTTGTCCAGTGTGAAATAAATAGACAAAGAAGTAGATAAACCTCTCAGCCTTGCCACAGAAATATTCCAACCCAGCATCATAATATTATAATAGCTCAGACTCCCCTGGATAAATTCTAACATTTTGAATGCAGCAAGGATTATTATTTTGCTCCATTAATCTACCATGTATGTTTATTTTAAAGAAATAAATTGTATGTAATCATTGGGTGCAAGAAATATATGTATGCATAGAAGTAGTTCTTATGTGGGGAAGAAGGTAACAACCTATCTTTATACTCACAATTTTAACCCAAGTCTCTATATTCGATCAAAGCAGAAAATGAGTGAAGCCACTCCTAACCGTTCCAAAATAAAATCAGTCCTCAACACATCTCAGCAAAAGAAACACCTAAAAAACCTGGATCTGGCACCTGGATGACTTCAGTCATATTTTGGAGCCATGACCCCAAATTCAAATGCCCACAAAAACAGCAAATGTAGCTGCTCCTGCTGCACTAATACAGTCTGGTCCCTAATGCCTGCCAATGCAATAAGCTCTGTAAAGACTCAGAAACAGTACCTGAAACCCTGGCCAAACGGGCTGCCAACACCCACATTGTACAGGGAGAATAGCAAAAGGTTCAGGTGCTTCTTCTGGTACACCTGGATACCACTAAATTTGACCTCAAGCCCCCGCGTTCCCTGGCCTAAGAGAAAGAAATGTAGCTAGCTGCAAGTACCTGAAACCACTATATTTGTGGCATAATCATCCCACAAGAACCAGACCCAGCACCTGGATACAGATGAAGCCAGCCACATTTTTGGAGACTGTACCAACTGCTCAGACAGAGGGAAAGTGTAGCTATTTCCCCGCTGCCAAACAGCGTTCTCCTGTTTTTTGCAGCACCAGCATAAAAGCCAGATTCAAGCTCCTGGACCAGGCAGGGTCTTGGCAGTTTGTCCCTAACATGTTTTCCTTCAAATCCAGAAATGCCACCAGCTAAAGAATGGACAAAAGCAGCTGTTGCAATTTGACTTCTTCAAAGTGGCTGCTCCAGTGCTGGGGTTGGGGATGAAGAGGAAATTGCTGGATCCACTTGTTGGATGTGTGTTTCTAGAACGGCTGTGACAGTGTGCAGTGCCATCTGGCTACTTTGAGTGCAGTAGGAGCTGCCACCCTTTCCCCTGTATTTAGACATTCACATTTCAAGAGGGGGGGGGCAGGATCCAGCAGGAGATGAGCAGCTACGCACCTCTCCAATGCTGTTGGATCCGGATGCCTCAGGGTCCAGATTTTTCAAGTCAAGTCGCAACAGCCTGCTCGGGCAGACCCTAGGCTGCCGGTCTGCGAGGCTGGGGCACGGCTCCCAGCTGCGATCAGGGGCCGTCACAGCATTTTGTGCCGCTCTTTTTCTGGGCTGGGTCAGGTCCAAATGCTCGGGGCAGGCGGAGCCCCAGGGGGACACCACGGCCCAGGCAATCCGCGGGGCTGCAAGTCGGGTGGACCTGGCAGCTCCCAGCCAGCCCGGGGATTTTGGAGCCGGCAGAACCTGCTGCGGGTGTGTCTACGTAGGGATGAATGACTGTCCGGGGCCAAACGAGCGCGGCCCCGGCGCCAGGCCCTGGTGACTGCCCGGGGGCCGGGAGTCGCTCCGTGCCTGGGGAGGGCTCGCGGCCAAGGGGGGCGGCAGGGAGGAGCCGGAGCCGGAGCCGGGCTCGCTCTCGGGCAGGGACGCGT